GCAGGTCCGTTTCAGCAGAAGGGGGCCAGTGGTGGCCAGCGATGGCCAGGAGCACGTTGGCGAGCTCTGGCGTGGGACTGGCCTTTCCCGGAGCCGCAGATGATGGCTCTTGAGTTGTCTGACTCCAGCCAGTCCGCGGGCATTGGGGATGGAATAAGCCAGGTCCCGGCCTGTCCTCGCGCTGTGAACATCTAAACGTCGCTCCTGGGCCTGGCTGATGTGGCTCCGTGGTTGAGCATCGACTATGAACGCAGAGGTCATGGACTCAATGCCGGGCCGAGGGCCGGATCCCCCGTGTGGGGCGTGCAGGAGGCAGCCCGCCAGTACTTCCCTCTCACTGATGTTTCTCTCTCTCCCTGTTCCTCTCTGAAGTCACTAAAACTATTTTAAATAAATAAGTTAGTAAATGTAATGAAAACTAAAAGCTGCACCTGGGGTGTAGGTCTTAATCATTGGGCCCATCCCCCTCCTGTCGTTTCTTTTTGGTTTGTTTGGTTTTTTGTTTTTGTATTTTATTGATTTTTTTTACAGAGAGGAAGGGAGAGGGATAGAGAGCTAGAAACGTCGATGAGAGAGAAACATCGACCAGCTGCCTAGGGAGAGGGGGGAGGCTGAGGGGAGGGGGGAGGCTGGGGGGAGGGGAGAGGAGGGAGGCTGGGGGGGGGGAGGGGAGAGGCTGGGGGGAGGGGGGGGAGACTGAAGGGGAGGGGGAGGGGGGAGGCTGGGGGGGAGGAGAGAGGCTGGGGGAGGGGGGAGGCTGGGGGGAGGGGAAAGGCTGGTGGGAGGAGGGAGGGAGGAGGCAGGGGGGAGGGGAGAGGCTGGGGGGGAGGGGAGAGGCTGGGGGAGTGCAGCCCGTTGGGAAGCGGGGCAGCAGCCAGTCCTGACATGGGCGGCAGCACACGTTCTTAAACGGGTTTCGCAACCTCTCAGCGCTGGCGGGCGACCCCCGGGGACGTTTGGAAATAACCCTCTTGGAGGGAGACTGCAGACAGAGGCTGGCTCTGGGGGAGGCTGGGACTGTGGGGGAAACGGCCTCAGGAACCGGGAGGGGCCCGGAGGCCGAGCGTGTGCTCCCCGTGGGTCCCTGCGGCTCCGGCCTGAGGTCACGGGGCCCTCGCCGGCAGCCCCCTCCCCAGCTCCCACGTGGGCCTGGGCGGGCAGAGGCTCAGGGAGGTGGCCCCGCATCGCAGGCATGGGCGCTGGGCCAGGGGACGAGGGAGCCCCTGGAGGAGAAAGAGGGGCTTTCTGTGCGATCCGGAATAAGTGGCTGTTGAAGGAGTGAGGGGGCGGGTGGGTGAAGGCACCGACAGGAGGCAGCCTGCCTGGGGCCGGGACACGCTGCGGGCACGGCTCCTGGGGGCGCCGGTCCTGGTCCGGGGTCTCCCCAGAGCCCCTGCTTGTGGCGAGGACGCGCCCTCCCCGGGTACGGGGAGGGCAGCACAGTCCGGCCGCCGGGCGGGGCCCCTTGAGCCGCGCGTCCACGCTGGGCGGCTCCTCTGCAGCCGGGAGGCCGGCGTCTGGTCTCCACGCAGGTGGCCCTTATTTCTTCCCCCCTCCCTCCCTCCTTCCTCCCCCTTCCTCCTCCCTCCCTCCCTCCCTCCTCCCCCTCCATCACCTTCCTTCCCCCCCTCCTCACCCTGCCCTCCTCCCTCCCCCCTGCCCTCCTTCCACCCTCATCCCTCCCTCACTTCCTTCCCCTTCCCTCCTCCTTCCCTCCTTCCTCCCTCCCTTCCCTCCTCCCTCCCTCCTCCCTCCTTCCCTCCCTCCCGCCCTCCCTCCCTCTTTCCCTCACCTCCCGTCCCTTCCTTCCCCCCCCCCCCCCCTCCCTCCCTCACCTCCTTCCCTCCCCCTCCCTCCCTCTCCCCCTCTCTCCTTCCCTCCCGCCCTCCCTCCTTCCCTCCCTCCCTCCCTCCTTCCTTCCCTTCCCTCCCTCCCTCCCTCCTTCCCTCCTTCCTTCCCTCCCTCCCTCCCTCCCTCCCTCCCTCCTTCCCTCCCTCCTTCCCTTCCTTCCCCCCTCCCTCCCTCCCTCCTTCCCTCCCTTCCCTCCCTCCCTCACTCCCTCTCTCCCTCCCTCCCTCACTCCCTCACTCCCTCCCTCCTTCACTCCCTCACTCCCTCCCTCCTTCCCTCCCTCCCTTCCCTGGCCGCCCTCCCCAGGGGCACCAGTGCCTCCGCCCGGAGCCCCTCTGCCTGCCCCGCGGCCCCCATCCTGTCGGGGTAGGTGCAGGCTCAGCCCCAGGCCCCCTTCCCCCCTCCTCCCCGTACTCATGACCCTCTTGCCCCCCCTCCATGCACCCCTCTGCCGCCGGCCACGTTCCCAGCTCTGGGTTCACCCCGATCCCCTTTGGTTCTCGACACCTGGAGTTTCAAACGCTTCGCGACCCGCTTGAGAGTTCTCCCGAAGAGGCCGTGTCAGGCGGCAGCGAACCCCCAGCCCCGAGGAGGGAGCTCTGTAACCGCAGACTTCCGCGGAGGAGGATACACCGGCGCGGCTTTAGGA